GTAATGGACTGAGTAGAGCAGCAACAACAATTGAGTCACATTCTCTGAAGATGTTACAAACAGGCCCCGTTTTCTTTGTCCAACTGGGTTTACCAACAGGTAGTAATGACTTCTCTTGGCATGACTACTATTCTTTGAAAGTCATATGTTTAATGAAATATCTAGGACTCACTGCACCCCTATTAAGTATACTTCGCCACTATGTGGTATCTTGGAAAGCACTGTTCATTATCATTATCTGCCTGAGAACCAGGCTTAGTTTAGGCCAAGTCTAGTTTAATTTCCCACTTGATTCTATTGGTTTTGCTCTGAATCATTTTTGGCTGTAACCAAAATGTAAATCCACCTTCAAAGAACAAAATTTGAAAAGTTATATGTCACATGCTCCACAAAAAAGTCCCCAAGATAAGTTCCAAAGAGCTGTTGAGGGAGGCATTGGTCATTGATAGGGGTGCACCCTGGTATATCTGTTAATGAATCTTAACGCAGACCAAATGGAGTGATAACCAATTGCCTAGGAAATAACAAAGGCAAGTATGGACATCAGACTACAAAAAGAATGATTCTTCATTCATCCATTCTCTCAGTAAACAATAGCCAGGATGTACTGTTAACAGACATTATGCCAGGTGTTAGAAATACAACAATAACAATAAAACATGCGGTCCTTGCCACCAAGATATTCACAATCCAGTAGGAAAGATGATTAATATACATCAAACTTTTATGTGCTTCAGAATCACATTGGGGTGTGTGTGTGTGGGGGGGGGGGTGCTGTTAAAAATCTAAATTGCCAAATACTCTAAATAGGTCTGGGGAAGGATCTAGGAATCCTCATTCTGTTTTAACATACCATAAAGTTGATTCTAATGTAGTCTGGTCTGAGGACCAGACTTTGAAAACATGCTGCTATACAATGTAATTATTACTGAGAGAAGTGAATGTTCAGGGTTACCACGTTATCCAGTCTAGGGAAATCAGGAGTTAGCCTGGTTGGGAGGGGTAGGACTAGGAAAAGGTAGTCTAGACCAGAGTTCAAAGGGTACAAAATTAGATAGAGGGGGAAATCCAAGGGCTAGGGAAAGGAAATTGGACTAAGGTGGGAGTAATCTGTACTTCCAGCATTTTCACAAGATTCCCTACTGTTTACTCTGAAAGTCAAAACTGTTTATGATGTCTTTGACCCAGGCCCAGAAAACAACTTGTATAGTTGAACTTGGTTAAAGTAACTACTGTGAATGGAAAAGTGGCAAAAGATGAAGCTGGGACAGCAAACAGGATCTAGAAAACCTAAATCCTAGGGAGTTAATATAGCACTGTTGTTGTCGTTAAGTGCTGTCGAGTCAATTCCGACCCATAGCGACCCTGCATACGGTTTTCAAGGAGAAGCTGGTGAGCTTGAACCGCCGACCTTGCGGTTCAAACGGCTTTGTAGTCTGGCGCATTAACCTACAGCGCCACACCAGGACTCCTGATATAGCATAGTGGTTACGAATTGAGCTGCGAACGTCAAGGTCAGCAGTTAGAAACTACCAGCTGTTCCGCAGGAGAAAGATGAGGCTTTCTGCTCCCATAAAGATTTACAGCCTCGGAAACCCTGTACAGGGTCACTATGAGTCGGAACCAACTCCACGACACATAACAACCACCACCACCACCACTTAAAAGTTGGCACTGTGGATTAATGCGCTGCACTGCAAGGTCAGTTTGAACCGCAAGGTCGGTGGTTCAAGGTCACTAGCCGCTCCTTGGAAACCCTATACAGGGGTGCTGTGAGTCGGAACTGACTCCATGGCACTTAACAAGAACTACTTAAACGTTATGGAAGGCAGTGAATTGACTTTAAGAAAGGGGGGAAACATCATTTGTTTTAGGAATTTTGAGATAGGCCCTAGTGGGAGAAACTGGGTTGACAGAGAAATGAAGGACACACATTTTAAAGCACCACTAACCTGACTGGGAACCAAGACCACCAGCTGCTCCTCAGAAACCCTATGTAGGGTCCCTATGAGTCAGGACTGACTTGATGGCACTTAGGAACAACAATAACACTGTATTGTAGGAAGCCCTGGTAGCGCAGTGGATCACAAGCTGGACTGCTAACTGTAAGGTCAGTATTTTGAATCTAGCAGTTGCTCCGTAAGAGAAAGACACTTTCTTCTCCCGTAAAGATTTACAGCTTCAGAAACCCTCTACAGGGTTGCTATGAGTCAGGACCAACTGGAAGGCACACCATCACCCTACTCTATTGTGGGAGAGGGGAAGGAAGAGGGACTTCATACTTACCAAGCGCCAGGCAGTTTAAATATACTGTCTTTTTTAATCTTTGCAACAAACTTGTGAGGTAGGTATTATTTTGCAGAAGAGAAAACTGAGACTCAGAGAAGTGAAGTGACTTGCCGTAGGCCATCCCACTAGTAAATAGCTAAGGAACTCAGAATATTTCAGGCCAAAGGCAAGCTATTTACCACAATGCTGAAGCTTACTGAGGTGCAAATTTCCCGATTAGCAGTAAGTACATATCTGGTCAGCAGTTCAAAACTACCAGCAGTTTCGCTGGAGAAAGATGAGGCTTTCTGCTCCTGTAAAGATTTACAGCCTCGGAAACCCTGTACAGGGTCGCTATGAGTCAGAACAGACTCCACGGTACTTAACAACAACAACTTATTTTTTGCCTTGCCAAGTGATACGAAAGTTTGGGCTAGCCTTCTATATTTACATTATTTTTGCTTGCTGTGTTTGGGAGACAAACATACAGATGACTGTTATTTTGGGGATTTACATCGATACTTTTTCTCTTCTACAAAATAGTCCTTGTTGATAAGTGCTGTTGAATCAGCTGACTCACAGTGACCCAGTGTACAAGAGAATTGAAACATAGCCCAGTTAGGCACCAACCTCACAATCCTTGCTATGTTTGAGCCCATTGCCACGCCCAAGTTGTCAATCCATCTCTTAGAGGGTCTTCCTCATTTCCCCTATATTTTACCAAACATGTGTCCTTCCCTAGGGACTGGTAGGTCCCTATGACATAACCAAAGCACTTAAGACAAAGTCTCACTATCTTTGCTTCTAACTAGCATGCTAGCTGTACTTCTTCCAACACAGATTTGTTCTTCTGGCAATCCAACTTGTTTATAAGTGCCATTGAGCTGGTTCCGACTCATACCAACCCATATAGGGTGTCTGAGGAGTGGCTGGTGAGTTTGAACCGCTGACCTTGCAGTTCAAACCAACCTTGCGGTTCAGTACTTATCCTACAATGCCATATATATATTTAATATTCTTCACCAACATCAATTCTTCCTTGGTTTTCCTTATTCATGTCTACTTTTCACATCTATATGAGGCAATTGAAAAATCATCATCAGGATGATATCATTGCTTTCAAATAGTTTAAAGAGGTCTTTTGCAGTGGATTTGCCCAATGCAATGTGAATTCAGCAGGGACTCGCCTTTATTAATGAGGGGGCTTCAGAAAGTTCAAGGGAAAAAAATCCATAATCTTTTATTCCATTTGTCTACTAACTTTTTGAAGTCCCTTATATATGTACTCCCACAGAAGTATTGTGAAACTTGGCATATAGTAGTTAATTGAATGAATTAATAAGTGACTATCTACCAGCCTGATGGTAGTGAAGAGGGGAGAAGTTTGGGTATTATTTCAAAGCTCCAATCTGTGGAGTTGTTTTAACAATCACTTTATAATCTTACAACAGCACTATTTTTTTTTTTTTCTCAACTCCCAAAGAATAGACTCTATGAAGCAGATTTAACTTTTGGAAAGGAGAAAGCTCCAATCCCTGAAATAGAAGTGGCAAAAGAACACACCATAAAGCTCTATTCACTTCAACTCCATTGGCGAAGACTGGGACTAAACTAACTTTTGCATTTCTCGTCAAGGGCTGGCTAAGCAAATGAATAGTGTAAATAAAATTGCAAGAGGAATGATTGTTTAATCCATGTAAGAAAACAAATTGTTTTCAGGGCTTCTTAAGAACTTCAGAAGTGTTTTATCAGAAAATATATGTATTTATATGCAAATAACTATTGAATCTATAGTAGTCCAGTCTTAATGATGAATTAAAACAGGTTCCTAAAGGACCTCCATATCTAACTGGCTTTTCAAGCCAAATTCTAATAACTATATATACTCAAGAGTAATAAAATTGTTTCTCTTTTAAAATATTTTGTGGCAGAATTTTCAACAAGTCAGGGCCTTCTCCTTTAAGTGACATCAATGAAGTTTTGCTATGTGCAACACTTCTTCCTGGATGAAATTGCTATCTAGTAATAGGACCTGTTGTGCAATCTTGCCTCTCCAATCTCTTCCAATCCAATTGAGAGCTCTTCTCATTACTTGATTGTATGTGTATATATGTGGATGGATGGATGGATGGAGGAAAATGAGAGATGGTGATTGATTTTGATGTTCTCTTTAGGTAACAAAAATGAACGGTTTATTTTCCCTTTCAGTACATTTCTCACTCAAATGAGCAAATAAAGAGCTTACAATATATATATATAATATATAAAATGAATATATAATATATAAAATGAATATATAATATATATTATTTATTCATAGTATATTATATATACACATACATATTTTCATTATAATAATCCCTTGATTGTAGGTTTTTATCCAAAACTATATACAATATGTGATAATAATTTGACACTGTTCAAAATTCTACTTGGTCAAATTGGCCATTACCAGAAAACCTGACCTCCCTCTCACCTACCCTTGGTTCACAACACCTGTCTACCATTTTTTTTTTTTTTTTACATAGAATTACCCTCATTCCTTCCAATATCATTTATACTCCTAAATCACTGGGAATTTTAAATTCTCCTATGACAAGAGAAGTATTCTCTAAACCTCTTCTCCAATGGCTTGAAACCCCACTATTCATATAATTTATTCTGGAAAACTCAGTACATTAATTCAAATACAAGCTTTAATGCACAAAAATTAAATCTATAATTATCTAGTTATTTTGGATGCTCCAAACAAACTTTATTTTGTATCGCATATATTGAACACTAACTGAGATTTAGGAGAGGAAAAAAACAAAACCAAGCTGTTGAACAGGAGAGCCAGTGAATTATGTGCTCTCTTGAAACTTAATGGCAAGCTTTCATCCCAGAAACATACGGGGATTCTTGAGGCCTGCAGTTGCATTCCTGCCGCTCGGGGTAATCAATAAAATCTGGGGCAGGCAAACCAGAGAGGATCATTAGGGATTTGTTCCAGATTGTGAATGTTGGGCAAACTGGAAGAATGAAGGTCACATCAAAAGTATGAAGATGGAGAGAGTTAGCTGGGTCATAGAAGGCTAACATATTGTTGTCGTAATCCAAGAGGACACCCAGACGCTTCAGCTGTGGGGGCACGTCCACGAGCATCTCCTTGTTGTTATGTCTCACCACAAAGTTACTATTGCAGCGAGAGAAGACCCATGAGGAGGCGTTCTTGCCAATCCATTCATTCTTTGGAGCGGATTTGTAGGCAATACCAATAGCATACCTGTGAGACAGTGGAAAGAAGATAGAAATAAACATTAAGGAACTGAGTTAGCGCAAACACCATATAGGATATGCAAAACACAGACTACAGGTTTCATCCTGAAATCGTTTACATTTAGATGCACAATGTTGATGCCATCACTAGAACCTTTAAAAGGTAGCAATTAAAGTGACAGAGAGACTTGTAACTCCTAGTAGTTATATATAGCACATGCCCTTTAAACCTTGATTTAGTTATTATGGTTGTGCTAGAAAATTGAATCCTCCAGGAGCCTAACAACAGGGGAGGGAAGAGAAGACAAAAGTAGGATCCACTCACCATGTGGAGGAGCCCATGACCACCTCCCAATAGTGGCAGCCACTGTCAATGAATACATTTCCGGCTGCCCCATAGCACCCTGTGCCACTAAACCTCTCCGGGGTGTGGCTCTTCTTCAGAGAACTTTCATCCTTTTCCATCTGCAGTCCATCATTGGAGATCTTCAACTTCTTGTGAGTCATTTTGGGGTCTAGTTTAAAGGGTTGGCCTGAAAAAAGTAGAAAGAAGACAGAGCACAATGAAGTATTTAAAAAGTCTACCTACCATGGGAATCTCAATATAAGTGCAAGAAGTCAGATGCTGTTTAGATTAGATTAAAGAAGCAGGCCAGCAATTCTAGTTTTTAATAAAATAAGAAGAGGTCAACCACTTGACCTACAGATTTGGGGACACAAGATTGCAGGAATCTCCAGCCTGGCATTTGACCTACAGATTTTGAACTTGTCCGCCCTCAACAATTGCATAATCTCTCTCTCTCCATGCATACACACACACACACACACACACACACACACACTTTATTGGTTCTATTTCTTTAGAGAAACCTGACTAATGCCGGTGTTACTGTGTTTGAGGTAAGACAAAGTTAAGGGGAATTCATGAACAATTGCTGCTTGGTGACAACAAAAGAAATGCCAAGAACTCAGCCACGGAACATAAAGTTCTTGCCCTCTTGCAAATGGGATCTAAACAGGAATAATTAGGTAACTCAGAGGGACGCCATATTATCAATAATCAAGGAAAACATTTGTGTAGGATCCTTCATAGCAGAAAATTCCTTATAATCAGTTGACAAAAGTTTGTTACTGCAGGACAACTGCTAGGTATGGCAATAGCTTTACTATAGACACTATTGGCCAACACAACACCCACTCCCCAACTTCACTCTTACTTGCTCTCACTAGAGACTAGAAAAGCTAAATGCTCAATCTCTCAGCCTCCATTGCCACTGTTGTTGGTTTCTGTCTAGTTGATTCCAACTCATGGTGACCCCTTGTGTGCAGACTAGAACTGCTTCATAAGGTTTTTAAGGCTGTGACCTTTCAAAAGCAGATCTCCAGGGCTACCTTTCAAGGTACCTCTGGGTAGGTTCAAACTGCCAACCTTTTGGTTAATAATCAAGTGCGTATCCTTTTGTGCCACTCTTGCCACTATAACAAACAAACGAACAAACACAAAAGCCAAACCCACTGCTATCTAGTCGATTTTGTCTCATAATGACCTTATAGGTCAGAATTGAACTGCTTCATAGTGTTTCCAAGGCTATAAATCCTTAGGAAAACAGACTGCCGCATCTATTTCCTGTAGGGCAACTGGTTCTTGGAAACCCTATATAGGATGGCTATGAGTCAGAAGCGACTCGATTGCATGTAACAGCAACAACCCACTAACCTTGTGGTTAGCAGCCTAGTGCTTTACTCACTATGCTATCAGAAACCAAACTCATTGCCACCAAGTTGATTCTGACTCGTAGCAACCCAATATAGGGGTTCTGAAGCTGGGAATCTTTATAGGAGGAGAAAGCCTCTTCTTTCTCCCATAGAGCAGCTGATGGATTCAAACTGATGACCTTGTGGTTAGTAGCCCGACACGTAACCCAGTACACAGCCATCTAGTTGATTCCGATTCATGGCGACCTGGTATAGGGCTTTCAAGGAGTGACTGGTGGGTTTGAACCACCAACCTTGCAGTGATTATTGTACAGCACCATAAACTTGTTGTTGCTGTTACATGCTATTGACTTGCTCCTGACTCATAATGACCCTGTATAGGGTTTCCATGGAGCGGCTGCTGGATTTGAACTAGTGACCTTGTGGTTCAAACCAACCTTGAGGTTCAAACCAACCTTATGGTCCAGTGCATCATCCTGCAGTGCCACACTAGGACTCCACAGCACCACACACTATTGTTATTGTTAAGTGCCATTGAGTCAGCTCTGACTCTTAGTGATCCTGCATAGGGTTTCCAAGGTGTGGCTGGTGGGTTTGAACCACTGAACTTGTGGCTCAAACTGACCTTTTGGTTCAGTGCATTAACCTACAGTGCTACACCAGGACTCCATGCCACACACTACTGTTGTTGTTGTTAAGTGCCGTCGAGTCGGTTCCGACCCATAGCGACCCTGAACAGGGCTTCCGAGGCTGTAAAGCTTTACGGGAGCAGAAAGCCTCATCTTTCTACCGCGGAGCAGCTGGTAGTTTTGAACTGCTGACCTTGCGGTTCGTAGCCCGATTCATAGCCACTACGTTACCAGAGCTCCTCTATGCCACACACTAAGGGTAATTAATTAGATGAAAGAGCAAGTCAGATAGATCTGTTTTCCAAATAAAAGGATAGCTATCATGGAGTCCCGGTGTGGCACTGTAGGATAAGCACTCAATCACAAGGTCAGGTTGAACGAAAGGTTGGCGGTTCAAACTCATCAGCTGCTCCTCGGAAGCCCTATACAGGGTCGCTCCGAGTAGGAACTGATTCGATGGCACTTAACAGCAGAAGCATTGGTGGCATAATGCTGAAGAATTCTGGTGCTAACTGAAAGGTCACCAGTTCGAGCCCATCAGCTTCATATTTTAAGAAAACCTGGTGATCTGCTTCCAGAAAGATTACAGCCAAGAGACTCTATGAAGCAGTACTACCTTGCCATGTAGAGTCTCTAGGAGTTGGAATCAACTGGATAGCACACAACAATGTCATGTGTACTAATCCTTTCCCCCTTCTTCCTATCTTGAAAGGAAATAGGATCTCTCCAGATTGCCATGGTCATCTTGCACCACTCCTAGTAGTGGGTTAATACACTAAGAAAGAAGGAGCCTAGGTCTTTTATGAAATCACAGAACTGCGGCACCAGCACTGAACTACCTATCTCCAATCTTATTTCTATTGTCATCTGTGTGACCGAAAAAAAAAAAAGCTGTATGTTTAAGCTACTGTTACTTGGATGCTCTATTACTTGTGGCCAAAAGCATTCGCAATTAACGCAGCTTCTCTGTAGTAGGATTTTTATCAGATGACCACAAATAATGCTCTTTTACTCAATTGTCCCCTCAGCATGGGTATTGGGTGGGAGCGACATCCTTCCAAGCTATTATAGCTGTATTCTGTATATGTATGTTTTCATAGATCTCCCAAGATCACCAGCAAATCTTTTGCCCAAACAACAAGCTACAACCATAAATTACTCTATCCAGGGCTAATGCTCTCTTACATTGTTGTAGGTGCCTGTTCAGACTAAGTGTCCTCCTGGGCACGGAGGGAAAAATGGATTTTTCTTTTCAGAGTCACCACAACGTACTGTTTGTTTTCAGTCGGGTAGGTTCACTGTTCCGGCTGCCTGCTTGGTTTATGGCTTTAACAATGAAGATGTAGCGGGTCCCACTCTGCAGTCCATGCACTGTGTAATGGTTCTGTTTAATGTTGGGCACAATCATCCAGCTATCCACTGAATTATATAGACCTGTAATGTGCGAAAGACAAGGACGTTAGCCAGCAGGTAACAGGGATGGGAAGAATAGCAAACTGAAAATTAATCATGAGTCCAAAAACAAATGTGATTTTAATTTGTTTTCTTTTAAGTCCTAGAAGACAAAATGAGATCAGCCTCCTCTGTTTTTTGTTTTCCTCCCACGAAGCTAAGTTTATGCCAAGCTCCTCACTTCTGGCAAATGAAAACAACCATTAGCGAACGTTAGGTTATTTCAATTTTCTGTCAAATATTAGAGGAATGGCCTACAGAAATCACAGAATCATCATTTTTTTTATGGAATCTGTGGGTCTGTTGCCCAAATGTCTTATCCTCTTAGAGCTGAATGTGGCCTTGTGTGGATGGAGGAGTCCTATGAGAGCTCAGAAACAGGAAATCTCAGAGTGAAAACACACCCCAAAACCATATAGTCCATGTCTCTCATTTCACAAATGGGAAACTAAGGTTGAGAGAAGAAACGTGACTTGCCCAAGGCCACGAAAAGTTGGAGATGGTGCTGAGAGTATAACCCAGATTTATCTTTAATCCTAGTTTAGCACTCTCTCCATTGCATCATAATTCTTGGGGTGAACAACAAAGTTCCATTGTCCCCTCAAAGTCATGAGGGTTTCAGGGCTTACGATTCAACTCTCCTACCCACTCTTCATCCTTACCTCTGAAACTATCTAGGTTCCAGGGAATCATATGGAAGCCAAGGAGATGACATGAAAACCAAAGCGAGACGTTATCTCCTCACTTGGACATTACTCGTTTTCAGCCCTTTCTACTTCTTATCGCCATATTTATTTGAGGTCAGGTGGTCATCCTGTTGTCTGGAACCTTCCCTTCCCAAACCCCCAAGTAGGTAAAGGGGTCTGAGTTTCTGCTTTTGAAACTCTTTAGACCAGAAACATTGACTTATACAGGGAAAAATGTACATAATTAAAAACATATACTTGACTGACTTTCAGTAAAAGAGAGAAACGCATTCTTGTCTGTGGATTATTCAGGCTTCTCTCTCCTGTTACCTCTTTTTCATTCAGTTTACTGCTTCTTAACCACAATTCTACCCAATGATGAGAAAGAAAGGGTAAGGAAAATGATCAGTGAATTTAATCACTTTTATGCAGCTCCTGGTGTGTGTGGTGCTGCAGTTAATGCGCTGGGCTGCAAAATTAGTTTGATCCACACGATCAGTGGTTCAAGCCCACCAGCCGCTCCTCGGAAACCCAATACAAGGTGCTATGAGTCGGAACTGACTCAATCAACACTTAACAACAACAGTAAGTTAGAGGAAGTTGAACATTGAAAATACTAAGTCACAAATGTTTTGCAAGACATCGAGAGGATTTTATCATTATTTTGCAGGGGAGGTGGAAAAAGTCAAAATTAAAACTAGAAAAAGAAGCAGAATGGAGGGTAGGCAGATATGCTATAGATAGACGAAGAACTGATGAAGCTGTCTAGTGATTCTTATGATAAGAAAAGGGCCAGGAACAATGCTTAAGGTCTTGGCTGTCTATGTACCAATGAATAGTATGAATCATAAAAACTACACATGTAGCTTTATTACAAAGAAGAAATGATCTTCCATATATACTTCCAACAACAACGAAAAAAAGTCAAAACAAAACTTAACAATGAAGTAACTAGGTAGCTGCAAAGAAAGAATAAAGATCTCTATGAACTGAGATGCAGTGATTTCCAAATGATATTATTAATGGAAAACAGGACATTGAAAAATAGCATCTTTTATACGCTATCTTTGTTTTTTGTTTTTAAAGAAAGGTCAATAAGAAAACATACATATATTTGTTTATATTTAACAAAACAACAACCAAGATAAACCAGAAAATGATACTGTTGGTGGCCTACAAGGTGTGGAGGAGATAAGGGACCAGGATGAAAATGACACTTATCGAAGCTTACCTTTTCATATAATTTTACCCTTTGGAAACACATTGTTGTTTTACAAATTTGAAAAAATTAAAACAACATCAGTAAGGATAGAAAGGGAGGCAGAGATAAAATCTGAAGGTGAACTGAAACAAATGTACCCACAAGTGCATTGAAATAAATAACATAACCACACCAAAGAGGTAGTGTTGGGGAGCGAAGGTAAAATAAATCCTGAACTATTATTAACAGGTTGTTTTTTAATGCTGGTATGAGAAAAGCAGTTACTGAGAAGCAATTTTAGATATGGGATTGAGCAAATGAATACCTGTGTTGATACATGTGCCTGCATATGAGGCTGTATAGGATAAGCACTGGACTGCTAACGACAAGGTTGTTAGTTCCCACCCACCAGCCACTCTTTGGGAACCCACACATAGGGTCACGATAAGTTGGAACCAACTTAACAACTTTAATAACAACAACAAATGCATATTGTGTGTCTATGCGTACATATGGAGTTCTGGTGTGATGCGGTGGGATAAGCACTGGACTGCAAGGTGGTTTTGAATGGCGAAGTTGGTGGTTCAAACTAAACAGCTGTTCCTCGGAAACCTTATACAGGGTCACTATGAGTTAGAACCATCTGGATTACACTTAACAGTAACTATAATAATAACACTGTATACATATACACATACAGATGTGTATACCTAGCACCCAAATCTTTTTCTCTAATCCCATTCTCCTATGAAAAGGAATCAGGGATCCTTGAAAAAGATCCAATTTCAAGGCTGGGGCAGACTAAGGTCAAGATAAAGCTAGAACGTTGTTATTTCCAGAAAGTCAGAAAGTGCTCAAAAATATTATGGTTACCCCATTATAGCAAAAGGTCACAGGGCTCCTTAAAAAAAAAAAAAAAAATCAAATGATCAACAATTATTTTAAAGCAAAGATGAGCAGGTAGGGGGCCAGGGAAGCTGGATCAATGGCGATGGAACAACCAGAATGGGAATATTGAAAATATTCACAAATTGTGAAGAATGTAACCATTACCACTGAACAATTTTGTATGGAAACTGTTGAATGGGAACCTAAACTGTGATGTAAATCTTCACCCAAAACACAAGATGTTATTTTAAAATAGAGGGCGGACACAGTGGTCAGCTTGAAAGGTTCCTACTGACCAAAATGGATGATGTGAGCACCCAAATAAACAAAGGTCATAAAGAACTATTAATCACAGGGTTTACTATGCTGGAAATGACAAATTGAAGAGGAATGGCATCGCATTCTTCATCAACAAGAACATCTCAAGAGCATTCATGAGTCTATAATTATGGAGGTAGTAGCTCAAACCACCAACAAAGAGGGAAGGAGTCTTACATCAAGTGTCAAACCTATCCCCTCTGTATACAGGGTAAATAGGGACAGGCGACCTAGATATTGGCAACCTAAAATGAGGGGGTGATAAAGGCACAAAATGACTGGCTTACAAAGTTTCAAGAGGGAGATTACTTTGAATGGGGGGTGGGTAGAGTCCCTACGAAATGGTTTTCATTTATCTAGACAGGTCTGGTAAAAAGAGATGGGGATGATTCTTATGATTCAATAGTGAGTAATTGTTATCATGACTAATTGCGACTATCACAACTGTAAAGGTAGAAGTTTTGTAACAAAAATGGGGGAGTGGTTAATCTTACAGTCCAGAAATAGAGGACCCTAGGACCATCAACATCAAGGGAGAGCAGAAGCGGAATGTGGGAGCCTATCCAGAGAAGCAGTGACACCAGAGATGGAGGCAGAGTTGGGGACTGTACCACATATGGGTAGCATATGATCAAGAGTCAGTGATCCTGAAGGAAGAAGTCCAACATGCATTGAAGTCATTGGCAAAGAACAAGGCACCGGGAATTGATGGAATAAAAAATGAAATCTTTCAACAAAGTGAAAGGCACTTTAGGCACTCACTCATAGATACCAAGAATTTTGGAGGGCAACTACCTGGCCAACTGACTGGAGAAGATCTGTATTTGTGCCCATTCCAAAGAGAGGTGACCCAACGGAATGCAGAAATCATCGGACAATCTCTTTGATATCCCCATGCGAGTACAGTTTTACTAAAGGTAATACAGAAACGGCTGCAACCATACATTAACAGAGAACTTCCAGAAGTTCAAGCCAATTTCAGAAGCGGATGTGGAATGAGGGATATCATTGCTGACGTCAGATGGATCTTGTCTGAAAGCAGAGAATACCAGAAAGATGTTTACTTGTGCTTTATTGACTACGCAAATGCTTTTGATTGTGTGGATCATGCAAGCTATGGACAACATTGCAGAAAATGAGTATTCTGGAACACTTAATTGTGCTCATGAGGAACCTGTACACAGACCAAGAGGCAGTTGTTCGAACAGAACAAGGGAACAAAGAATGATTTAAAAGTAAGAAAGGTGTGCGACAAGGCTGTATTCTTTCACTATACTTATTCAATCTGTATGCTGACCAAATCATCCAAGAATCTGGGTTATGCGACGAAAACGTGGCATCAGGATTGGAGGAAGGTTCGTTAACAACCTGTGATATGCTGACGATACAAACTTGCTTGCTGAAAGCCAAGAGGACTTAAAATACTTATTGAAGACCCCACATGTGATGCTGTAGGATAAGCATTGGACTGCTAACCACAAGGTCGGCTGTTCAAACCCACCAGCTGTTCCTTGGAAACCCTACACAGGGTCATTATGAGTCACAACCAACTCAACGGCACTTACAACTCTCTCTATCTCTATACATATAGATAGAGAGAGAATGCAAGCAAATGAGAAAGGAAAATAGGCAAAATATTTACAAAAGGTGAATCTGAGAAAAGTGTATCTAGACATTCTTTGTGCTAGTCTTGCAAATTTTCAGTAATTTTTAAGCATTTCTAAGTTTAAGGTAGTGGTGGTGGTTATGTTCCATGGAGTCAGTTCCAACTCAGTGACCCCGTATAGAGTTTCCAAGGCTGTAAAATCTTTACAGGAGCAGAAAGCCTCATCTCTCTCTCACAGAACTCCTGGTAGTCTTGAACGGGTGGCCGTGAGATTAGTAGCCTGACTTGCACCCACGACACTACCAGAGGAAGGGGGCATAAATATCTGACCCTCTGCTTATCATTGAGACTTGCTGAGATAGGATTGATGATTACATTATGGTAATAAAGAATGCTGTTGTTGTTAAGTGTTCTTGAGTCAGTTTCGACTCACGGTGACTCTGTATAGGGTTTCCAAGGAGTGGCTGGTGAGTTTGAAATGCCAACACTGAGGTACAAACCGACCTTAGGGTCCAGCGCTTGTTAAAAGAGGAAAGAGCACAAAAGGCAAATCTTTGAGCCTGAGTGTAAATGTGTGGTGGCGAGCATCAGCATGACAAGAGGAAAAGAAACTCTATCTTTATGGCAGTATATTACAGTGACAGGGCAGACACACACCTTTTTTCAGCCAAAATTTATAACACTATTCACGGACCATCAAAAACTATCAACTTAAAAGTTAGCATGCTATATGTGGTCAAATACTGAATTAACAGCTGCTCCTCGAAAACCCTATACAGGGTCGCTATGAGTCGGAATCAACTCGACGGCACTTAAGAACAACAACAATGTGGTGGCTTGGTGTGACGCTGTGGGATAATGCACTGAACTGCAAGGTCAGCAGTTCAAATTCACCAGCCACTCCTCAGAAACAGGGTTCCTACGAGTTGGAATCGACTCAATGGCATTTAACAAAAATGCGATGGCTAGAACTACAGTTGCCTTGGCAGGGCCAGACCAAATGATGTTGCAGGCCTTCTATGGCCCATAGGCAGGACGTTTCCCACCCTTGTGTTAAAGGCTGCCTGGCCCAGACAAAGATCATGGCCCATGCTTTCATAGTACAAATTGCGAAGTTAAAACAGTGGCAAGACAATACAGTGACCAGGAAGACAAATATCCAGGCATATGTTGGAATTTTCATACAGCTAACAGCATCATCTGAAGTCTTGTTAACTTGTGATCATTTAAAATCTTAGAAGAGTGGGTGGAAAGGAAGTTGAAAAAGAAGAAAGAAAATTAAAAACAAAACCCACCACCAACGAAACGATCAGAAATACTAGTAAGGGGAGCCACTTCTCCAGACTTTATTCTAACCAATAAGGAAGAAATGTCTTGTAAAAGAAAATGTGGTAACACCTCAATGCAAAGTAGCTCTCAAGGTTTAGTCATCAATGGGCAGGTCAGACAAGCAGGCAGGACAGTTCCTAGTGAAACAGTTTCATCTTATCTGCCCACTGTCATACAAAATTTTGCTTCAGGGCTTTGCCCTTGTCCCTGTCCTTTTCAACTTTTCTATCAATGATTGGAGGAAGACTTAGAAGGCAGGCTGAGAGGGAAAGCAAATGCACTGGAGGCAGATTCTGGACTCGAATGAGTTCTGGCAGACTGAAACGAGGTGTCAAAGCTAACCAGATACAATTCGTTATTGTTGTTAAGTATCATCGAGTCAATTCTGACTCATAGCCACCCTGTACAGGGTTTCAGAGGAGCAGCTGGTGGGTTTGAACCTGTGATCTTGTGGTCCACAGTCTAGTGCTTATCCTATAGCGCCGCACCAGGAATCCCATAAGAGGGATAAATTCAAGGTGGTGTATTTCAGTTTAGACACTCTGCTTTTTTAAGTGCAGGATTTGGAAGACGTAGGGATCCCAATTGCCTTGTGGTGCAATGGTGAAGCACTCAGCTGCTTACTGAAAGGCACCCAGTGTGAACCCATAAGTGACGTCACAGGAGAAAAGACCTGCTGATTTTGTGTGCTTTTGAAGATTATGGCCTAGAAAACCCTATGGGGCAGTTCTACTCTGTCATAAGGGCTTGCTATGAGTCAGAATCAATCTGTCAGCACACACACACACACACACACGACAACAACAACAACAAATACAATATGCTCAGTCAACAGTCAGCAGTCAATGTGGCTGCCAAAAAAGAGTGAGGGCACCCGCTAATGTTCAAAAAAGAGATCATCAAACTATCATTCTCTGTGTTGCTCAGACCACTTTTAAAGTACTGGATTCACTTTTGTTTGGGCAGCACATTTTGTGAAGCACTTTGGCAAACAGGTGTGTCTCCATAAACAGGATAGCGTGATGGTAAGGGGTCTGAAAATCATGTCATATGAGGGACACTTGAAAGAACCGATGATGCTTAGCCTAAAAAAAAAAAAAAGAGAGAGAGAAATTTAGAAATGACATAAGAGCTACCTAAAATAATCTGAAGAACTGTCATGTGAATGATAGATTGGGTTTTGTAGTGAGCCACGGAAGACCAGAATTAACTGGCAGCTGTGGTTTAATTCAAGGAGCTGAGCTTCAAGTCCAATATGCACGGATTTGAATCTTCATTATTTTTATAGCTTTGGGACCTTGGGCAACTCAAACCTGAGCCTCATATTCTGCATCTACAAAACAGAATCAAAATCACCTGTTTCATAAGGCTAACTAAGAACTCATGAGGGGCCTAAATGAGATCATGAATTTAGGAGATTTTTAAATGGCAAAGCAAAATGCACATATAAATTATTATTGCTATTATTATTTAGGAAAAGATTCATAAGGATCCCTGGTAGTGCTGTGGGTTAGATGTTGAGCTGCTAACTCCAAGGTCAGCAGTTCAAACCCACCAGCTGCTCTGTTGGAGACGGATGAGGCTGAACGCTCCCATAGAGATATACAGTCTCAAAAACCCTACGTAGGGTCACTGTGGGTCAGAATCGACTCGATGGCAGTAGGTTTCATAAGGAAACACTGATAATGATTTATAGCTGCACACAAAATGAATGGGCTGTTTTGTTAGAAGTAAACTCTCCATTATTGGAAATGTTCATGCAGAGATGGGTTTTGCTGGGTGTCTGGTAGAAGGCAAGAAGATAAGACTATATGACTTCTAAGGTCTCTTCCAATTCTAAGATGATATGATTCTACGGCTGTGAAGAATAATCCTTGAAACTTTTCTTCACAAAGGATGATACAGGCTTGAAAACAGAGATGAGCACCATTTAGCTCTTCGTCACTTCTTGGATTTGTACTCAACTCCCAGAACATGACAGCTTGGACCCAATCAGAAAGACGAAGCAAAGTTGTTGGCTCTAAGATTTTTCAGAGCATGACAAGCAAGTGCAAAAAAGGATGTTGGTGAGGCTTTAGAGTTAGTGACTTTACAACCTGAAGCAACAACCAGGAACACAGCTACATGGGCGGCACGAAGCAAGTGTTTCTTGAGAGTTTGACCTCAAATGTCCTCTCACCTCCTACTTGACCATCTGCCCCCAAACTGACACAGAACAGGAAAAAGAAGCCTATTAAGCAGGTTAAATCATTTCTTATGCCAACCAGTGAACGAAAACACAGAAGTACTAACCCAAAGTTAAAAGAAAATGCTAGTTTGAGGTTAAAAAGATGTAGTCTTAGGGTGGAAACCCGTTCCAGCCTTGAATCCAGCTTTAATTCTGCTTTCATTTCCAATTTTCCCCAACCCACTGAGGGCAACTTTCAGCTCAACTCCTCTTGATTGGCAATCGATGAATTACGTTTCTACTCTACTTGTCTTGCTCCAATGCAACAGAAGGTGAAGCCACAACATATGAGCTAAATAGTTGCTTCTGAACAGCTTTCATTCTGTTGCCCACTTGCACACTTTTCTATTTGGTGTAAACTCTAGGTGAAAAGGGAGAAAGGATAAAGGAGAGAGTGAGAGTCAAGAGCTTGTCATTATTTTCACTGATAGGAACAGGTACAGTAAAGAAAGTAGTAGTCTTGGAAAATAATAGACAAGTTTACCATGATAATGACATGGAAGCAGAGTCAAGGACAGAGATGTTCGCACACACAAAAATAACAATGATGTCTGAGCTGGGGGAGTTCTGACTTGGGATAGTAGAGTCACATGGATTAGCTGAAGAAAGACTAAGGATTACACAAACAAATGGGAGTGACTCCAGTGACTGCACAGCAAGGAAACACACAACTTGGCTGGTCACCCATCAGTCAGGTCTTTGCAACGCCCTGGGGGAGCTTACACTGTCTAAGAAAGACTATGCTAAACAACCTAACATGTCTTACAAACACTTGCCTCGTGGCGCCCCGGCCATTCTTGAGCAGCTTACTGCTTCCTTACATTTCCTTATCTCTGGCCACAGGCCCCAACTACACCATGACTTACTGATGAAGTTAGCCTGGCCAGTGAATATGGTGTACTGAAGCTCATAGGAGCTGATGCTGAACTCATCATCTGAGATCCAGTGGACCGTAATGGTGTCATGGGAGGCTGTACAGAGTTCTTCTCGGATAGATGGTGGGTTTGGGGCTGTAAAGAAAGATGGAAAAAAAGGTCAGGAAACACAGTCTCTGGTCTGGAATTTTATAATAGTTACTCTTGCTTTCTAACCCAACATCTCTTGGAGAGGAGGTTTTCTTAATAGAGAAGTTTAAGACTGTATGGATCATACAACCTAAAGCGCTCCCAAAGAACATTTACATCAACAGTAAAATATGTTTGAAGCAAACCTACAAACTTCAATTACTGAGTTAATTTTTTTCCCCTCTGCTTGTAAAAACACATATGTAGATATTAGAGCAAAGCATTTAGACCTTATTTTTATTACATGCTCTTAAACTTTTTTGTTTCTATTTCAAAATAAGTCTCACTATAGATTTTTGGTAGTATAAATGAAGCACAAATTAGTATAAGTTTCCTCTTCAGTACAATGGGGATGATAATTATCTCATGTTGTGGGAATTAATCATATAAAATAAATATTCAGGGTCTGGTACAAAGTAGGTGTTCAATAAATGATTGTTGTTGTTATTAAGTGCTGTCTAGTCAGTTCCGACTCATAGTGACATAGGGTTTCCAAGGAGCAGCTGGTGGATTTGAACCACCAACTTTGTGGTTAGCAGTCCACAACTTATCCTACAGTTCTATACTAGGACTCTGAATAAATAATAATCAGATTAATATAGTAACAAGATAGCCACGTACACAAAGTGTATGTATATGTTTTTCCTCATATACTAGTCATTCAATAATCCTGAAGGTAGCCAGCATTTTTAACAGGCTGGTTGCATCTCTCACTTCCTGAAATTGTCTGCACATCAGGTATTTCTTAGATTTGTCTTCCAACCTGCTGATTCCTAAATTTCCCTTAAACTACTTAAGTGGCACTCGTATTCATGTGGGACAGCCTTCGAATATTCCTCAGCTGCCCGCTGAGTTCTATCCCCCAAATAAGCAACAAAATATTACTGATAAGCTCATAAGGAAACAACCCACCAGCAATTTATTATATTTTACCTTAAATATGGATGGAATACCAATTCTGCCCCCAGAAATATTGGACAAATCACCCTTTTTCTGTTATGTGAACTAAAATACATTCTATATTAAAAGATGCATGCATAATTTAAAAGATTATAAAAATATTATTGACTTTCCCAGATTATTTGGAAGTATTGAACACACACACACAAATTATTTTGTGTTTTTTTTTTTTTTTAAACAGGAAGGAAAGTATAGTATTTTCACACCTGTTAAATAATCTAGCCCCTCAAGCAATTTCTTTTCTCTGGAAAAATCTAAAGCAAAGTTTTCAAAGGCATCATTAAAATTGATGTCTGGAATCAGAACTTGAGAGGATGCAGTTGCCATAGCGACTCTGAAAAAGAGAAAAGTACATCAATATACATCAAAATAGGTTTGCAACCTTCATCCAATGTTTCAGTTCTGGTTTAACAAGGTAAAAACAAATGACTTGTTCATTAAGTGAAAAATGTGTCTGTGCTTTTCCAATGAAAACCATTTAAATTTTAATCATCGGGAACCAATTAGGGGTTATACAATATTTACTCACATATGTTCGACCCTCAAACACACTCCCCCATCCTTTCTTGATTTTGAGAAGTAAATACAGAATTTTTTCCCCTCTGCATCATTTTCCATCTGGCAGGCAGCATCAAAACTAGACCTCTAAAGGCTTGGTAAGAGTAGTATAGGAGATTTTTTTTTTTTTTTCTTTTCCTTCTATTTTTTTAATACTAATCAACAAGCCAGTATGTTAGGCCAAATCCTTCCTATAAATACTGTCTTTCACTTGATATTTTACAAAATTTATATTTTATTTTAATGTTCCCTAATTGCACAGTATGCTAGTTTTACCTTCTAGGCTTATTCTAAGTTTCTCAAAAGCAGAGGTCATATTTTCACCTCTTGTATCTTGCATGATCCCTATACACACATTTGTTGTTGTTGATAAGTGTCGTCGAGTCAGTCCTAACTCACAGTGACCCTATATAGGGTTTCTGAGGAGAGCTGGTGTGTTTGAACTGCTGACCTTGCAATTAGCAGTCAAGTGCTTATCCTACAGTTCCACACCAGGACTCACACACATAGTCAATAACTGTTGAACGAATGAACGAATAACAACAGTACAAAAGCTAGTGTTGTTGTTTACTGAGCACTTAATATACACAAACCAATAAGGATAATAAACGTAACTGAACCGATATCTGTCTAATCCCAAACTCAGTACCTCTTAACCATTTTGGCAATTCTTAACTAACTTAGAGAGCAGAATTATATGGGGGAGCATTTATCAAAATATACAGAATTTATGACTCAGAGTCCTCAAAAAACCCTTGAGCATGCAAATGGCAGGATGGCAAGAAGAGACAGAAGTGTAGGGGCACCAGAAATGAAACTGTTACGGTGCATTAGTCGTGGAGTCCTGGTGTGGTGCTGTAGGATAAGCACTGGACTGCTAACCACATGGTCAGTGGTTCAAACCCACCAGCTGCTCCACCGAAATCATATATGGGGTCGTTATAAGTCAAAATCAACTTGATGGCACTTAACAACAACAATAGTTGTAAGAGGCTCTGATGGTGCTGTGGGATAAGTACTGGACTGCTAACCACAAGGTTGGCAGTTCACACTCACCAGCTACTCAGCGGGAGAAAGAGGAGGTTTTCTGCTCAAGTAAAGATTCACATTCTTGGAAGCTCTATAGAGGGTCACAATGAATCAGAACAGGCTCAATGGCACTTAATGACAACAACAACAGTTGTAAGGAGATGAGAGATTGAAGAAATACATATACTCATGCATGTACCCCCTGCTATACATCTTTTTATGCACAAATATAGAGATACAATAACTCTTGTCTGTTTTTGAAAATAGAGACATTTCAGGAATCAACTGTAAGCCAGAATAAACAAACGAAACAGTAACTCTTCTAATTTCTCATTGACTAGCCAGTCTTCCGGGATCTTATCAGTAAGAAGACAACAACCTCTATAGAACAAGAGTTGTGTCAGAAAATTGGCTTATTAGAAAGAAAAGACATTACATGAAGACATTTCTTCCTAGCCTCCCCCATCTTTCTTCCTTCTTTCCATCTATCCATCCATCCATCCATCCATCCCATCCATCCATATATACACATACCACTTATTAAGCAATATAACGTTACATCCCTGGTAGGATACGTACTGGCCTGGTAACTGAAAAGCCAACAGTTAAAACCTACCAGGTGCTTTCAGAAAGCCTATACAGGATCACTATAAGTCAGAACCTACTCAAAGGCACTTAACAGCAACAAGAATAACAGTGTTACAGGCACTGAGCTAAGCAACGGAGCTACATAGGGAGAACAAGTTAGTTGTACTGCTTGTCCTCACAAGGTTCAATGATCATAGAAAAGTCCTTAAGTAGGTAATTAATAGAAGTGCTGTTAACTAAGGGAGTAGTGCATACACAAGAGTCACTTGGGAGCTAAAGGAAGTTTGCCTGGAGGAAGTTGATTTTAAGCAATGGACTATATGATGAGTACGAGTCCGCTTAGTAAAGACTATGTGGGTGTGGATATTGTTCTCTCTTGCCTAACAGATGAGACTTAGGCAAGGAAAGTCATGTAGAGACTCGCTGATCATGCTATAAACTTTGGACTATCTTAGGAGCAATAGGGAACCACTGACATAGTAGGCAAAGGAATGATATGCTCAGGTCTAATCTTAACAAGGGTATGCCATCTGCAGTAGATTATATGAAGAAAAATGTGACATCAGGATTGGAGGAAGACTCATTAACAACCCGTGGTATTTAGATGCTACAACCTTGCTTACCGAGAGTAAAGAGGACTTAAAATACTTACTGATGAAGATCAAAGACCACAGCTTTCAGTATGGGTTGCACCTCAGTGTACAGAAAACAAAAATCCTCAGCACTGGACCAATAAACAACATCCCCCCAAATGGAAAAAAGACGGGACGTTTTCAAAAAACTTCATTTTGCTGGGATCACCCATCAACACTCATGGAAGCAGCAGTCAAGAAATCAAATGACTTACGGCATTATGCAAATATGCTGCACAAGACCTCTTTAATGTGTTGGAGAGCAAAGATGACAGTTTGAGGACTAAGGTGTGCCTGACCCATGACGTGGTATTTTCAGTAAGTTCATAATGCATGTGAAAGTTGGACAGTGAATAAGGATCACCATAGAAGAATTGATGCATTTGATTCATGGTGTTGAAGGAGAATATTAAAAGTACCATGGACTGGCAAAAGAACAAATAAATCTGTTTTGGAAGAAGTACAGCCAGAATGCTTCTTAGAAACCAAGATTGCCAGACTTCATTCCTCATACTTCGGGCATGTTATTCAGAGGAACCAGTCCCTGGAGAAGGATATCATGCTTGGTAAAGTGGAGGGTTAGAAAAAAACAGGAAGACCCCCCAATGAGATGGATTGGCACAGTGGCAGCAGCAATGGGCTCAAGCAATGCAACAATTGTGAGGTTGGCACAGGACTGGGCAGTGTTTTGTTCTGTTGTGCATAGAGTCGCTATGAGTTGGTATCGACTTGATGGCATCTAATAACAACAACAATACGTTTAGTGATTCTGCTCTACTTCCTAAGCTTGTGGTGCAGAGGCTGTGGTCTTAAAAGCTTGAAAGTGGCCATCTAAGACACAATGATTGGTCTCTATTCACCTTGAGCAGCAAAAGGAAAGAAGATATGCAATGTGTGACTAGTTGCCTCTTTGCCAGGGGATATGAACTGGATTAGTGCCTGGCTACCATTAACAAAAGGAGCTCTGGTAGCGTAGTGGTTACGAATTGGGCTGTGAACCTCAAGGTCAGCAGTTTGAAACTGCCAGCTGCTTCACGGGAGAAAGATGAGGTTTTCTGCTCCCGTAAAGATTTACAGCCTTGGAAACCCTGTTCAGGGTTGCTATGGGTCGGAATCTACTCGATGGCACTTAACAACAACCATTAACAAATGTTTTGATCAAAGATTCTATAGATGATCCTGATCAAAAGGAGGAAAATAAGAACAGAATTTCAAATTCGCAGGGACTCTAGATTTTCTGGAGCCATGGGTGAACTCCAGAAATGACTGCCTTGAGATAACTTTTAAACCTTAAACCAAAAATAATCCCCAGAAATCTTCTTAAAAGCAAGTAATTTGTTGTTGTTAAATGCTGTCAAGTGGGTTCTGACTCATAGCAACCCTGTATAGGGTTTCCAAGGAATGTCTGGTGAGTTTGAACCAACCTTGCGGTTCAAACCGACATTGAGGTCAAGTTCTTATCCTGGTATGGCGCTGTGGGTTAATGCACCAGACTGCAAATCCATTTGAACTGCAAGGTCAGCGGTTCAAGCTCACCAGCCACTCCTCGGAAACCCTATACAGGGTCACTATGGGTCGGGATTGACTCAATCGCACTTAACAACAACAACTTATCCTATAGCACCACACCAGGACTCGGTGAAACCAAGTCTTATATTCAGTATGACACTCTGTTTATAAAACACAAGGATATGAATACAAAGAAAAATCATAGGCTCCTATATTTCCAAGTGTTAATCAGAAGCTGGCAGGCTAAGAATGAGTTTAACATGACATTGTGGGGTATATGTCTATGTTTCTGTGTTTAAGTAAAACACACGGGTTAATGCGCTGGACTGCAAAGTTGGTTTCATCCGAAGGTCGGCGGTTCAAGCTCACCAGCCGCTCCTTGGACACCCTATACAGGTTTGCTATAAGTCGGAACTGACTGAACAGCACTTAACAACAACATCAGGGTTACCAAGGAGCGACTGGTGGGTATGAACTGCTGACCGTGCAGTTAGCAGTCCAGTGCTTTGTCCTACAGTGCCATCCAGGACTCCTATGAGAGACTAACAAGAAATAAATTTAGATTAGATAGGTGTTTGTCAAATCATATCATATAAACAGCCGTGAATTATACCTATCTCTGAGCCTATGGAAAGAAGATTACCATCAATACTTACATGATAATTGAAACCCTAGGAGCTAATGAATTTTCAGTAGGGAATGTGTGTAGTGGGGCAAAATAATAGCCTAGTACAGGATAATGGGGGGAAATACCATTAAAGAATAATCAAGAAAAGAGTTGTTCATAAAGGTAAAAGAAACTAGAGTAGAAAGAAAACCAAGAGTGTTCACTGAAGCTAAAGACAATTAATTGGTCAGTAGGGACAAATGCTTCTGAGAGATCAGGAAAGATGAAATAGTAAGATGAAACAAAGGAGTGTCTATTGTATTTAGCCACAAAGTATTAATTTGGTGACCTTGAAAAGAACCACTTTCAATGATGTGGTATGGTGGAAAATAGATTTCAGATAGTTGAAAA